ACAAACCCTAAACCCTAAACCCTAAACCCTAAACCCTAAACCCTAAACCCTAAACCCTAAACCCTAAACATAAAAGGCGCCACACACACACACACTCCGCCAAATCCTTTCCCCAGCCCAGTGCTGCAACACGCGACCCAAGGTCGCCAAACCCTAAACCCTAAACCCTAAACCCTGTTCTTACTTGCCGTGGATGCCCTCCACAGGTGTCGATACACCTGAGGCTTTAATTCGGCTCCAGGCGAATTGGCAGTCTGAAGTAACGTCGATTGAAAGGTTTCCGTTCTCTGTAAGCAAAACCCTAAACCCTAAACCCTAAACCCTAAACCCTAAACCCTAGATTCTAGAGCGAGAGAGGGAAAGGCTTAACCGTGAACGTCTGTATGCATTATTACACTTCTCTGTTTGCTTTTTAGGGTTTTGTTTGTCTCGTCGTATTTAATATTATCTTTTTATGTTTATTTTTTTCTGTCTCTCTCCTTTCTCTCTCCTGTCTCCTTTGTTTCTTTTGTTTAAATTACATTATTAATTTAATTTAATTTAATTTAATTTAATTTAATTTAATTTAATTTAATTTAATTTAATTTGTTTGTCTTGCCGTCTGCTGCATGCGCGGAGACAAGGAGATGTCCCTTTTGATTAAAATTTATAGACAAACGAAAATTTGCTTCACCCCACACTCTAACAGAGCACTCTCTTCCTGCTGCTGCTGCTGCTGTTGCTGCTGCTGCTGCTGCTGCTGGGGCTGCTGCTGCTCCTGTAGCTGCTACTGGGGTCCCCCATCCCCCTGACCCCACAGCACCAACAACAGAGCACTCTCTTCCTGCTGCTGCTGCTGCTGTTGCTGCTGCTGCTGCTGCTGCTGGGGTTGCTGCTGCTCCTGTAGCTGCTACTGGGGTCCCCCATCCCCCTGACCCCACAGCACCAACAACACCAACAGCACCAGCTGCAGCAGCAGCAGCAGCAGCAGCAGCAGAAGAGGAGACACCCGAAGCAGCAGAAGGCAGACCTGGGATCGCCCCCAAGGAGGCGATCCCAGGGATTGCTGCAGGAGCAGAAGACAGCGCTTGGCCAGCAGCAGACAGCGCAGACCTCCACAACAATTCTCCCCCTAACAACAACGCAAACCCTAAACCCTAAACCCTAAACCCTAAGTGTAGGTATTATTATGCATTTTACATCACACACACAAACAACTCTACAAATATAAACCCATCAAAACAAAACCCCTGCAGAATCCTCATATCAAAAAACTAAACCTTTAAACCTTAAAACATTAGGGTTTAGGGTTTAGGGTTTATATACCTGATTTCACTTGTTCTCCCAGCTCTGAAACAGCCACCGTCAAAACCCTTCCTATCTTCTGTGGATCTAGAGTAGCAGGGGGCCCCCTTAGGGGGGCCCCCAGGGGCCCCCCATGGGGCCCCCTTAAGGGGGCCCCCAATGGGCCCCCCTGGGGCCCCCTAGGAGAACCCAGGGGCCCCGTAGGGGCCCCCAGGGGCCCCCCTATAGACCCTTCCTGATTAGTATTAAGGAATAGGGCTGAAGAGGGCGGGGCCCCCTGATCTACTTGGGGGCCCCCAGCAATGCGGTAGGGTTTAGAAGAAACAACGAATTCATTTGACTCATCAGAAACAAGAGAAGTACATCCAGCGAAGAAGGACATGACTGTGTTGAAGTTTTAATGAAATTTAACCCTAAACCCTAAACCCTAAACCCTAGAGGGTTTTCTTATGTACACAGGGATGCACGAGTTGTGCAGAAGGAAACAAACAGAAAAAACAGACAAATTACTTTATACAGGGATGCACGAGTTGTGCAGAAGGAAACAAACAGAAAAAACAGACAAATTACTTTATAACTAAAGCTTATACCCAATGCAAACTTTGTGCTTTAGGGTCTAGGGTTTAGGGTTTAGGGTTTAGGGTTTAGGGTTTGCGAAAGCAGCGATAAGAGTAGGAGGCCGCCTCCGGTTGAGCAGCGCAGGAGTTTGTTTGAAGAGATTAGACAGAGTTTATGTGTGTGTATTGATGAAATATTAAAATTAAAACAAAGAATTAAATAAAAAAAGAAATAAAATCAAATACAATTAATTTATTGCTGCTTTCTTCTCTTTGCTGCTGCTGCACACTCTGTTGTTTGTCTACAGCGCCTGTCGGCAGCGGCGCCGGGTGTATGCACATCAAATTGATATAAAAGAAATAATAAAATATTTCTTTTTTAATTTATTTCTGCTTTATTTTATATTTTAAACATACACCTAAAGATTTAATAGACAACTTATTCCCTCAGGTGTACGCTCAGCTCGAAACTACGCAACGCTACGCGCACAAACAACCCTAAACCCTAAACCCTAAACCCTAAACCCTAAACACTAAACCCTAAACCCTGAGAATGAATCAGATTAAAAGGAAAAAGAAGTCAGGTTTAGGGTTTAGAAGGAGAATAACGCTCTGGTGCCGACAACCCTAAGTCGTGCAAAGGGAGACAAAAACCCTAAACCCTAAACCCTAAACCCTAAACCCTAAACCCTAGAGCAAGATAACCGCTCCAAACAAAACCCTAAACCCTAAACACTAAACCGTAGAGTGATAAGACCACTCTAAACAAAAAACCCTAAACCCTAAGCCCTAAACCGTAGAGTGATAAGACCACTCTAAACAAAAAACCCTAAACCCTAAACCCTAAACCCTAAACGCATGAGCCCTTACTCCTTCCTTTCTGTCTCCTGCCAGCCCTAGTGTTTATCTTTGTTTGTTTGTCTCTCTTTCTTTTACTCTTGTCTCTTTCTTCTTTTGTCTTTCTGTCTCTACACATCAATATATCATAGACATCTGCTGTTAGCAGCAACGAGCTGTCTCCTTTTAATTTTTTATATTGCAGCAGCTCCTTTTGTCTCTCTTTGCTGCATCTGTTGTTAGTTTAGGGTTTAGGGTTTAGGGTTTGTCTTTGTTTGTTTTGTTTGTTTGTTTTACCTCTGTTCTTCTGTCTCTTTTTATTCTTTTGTTGCTTCTCTCTCTTGTTTTATTTTATTTCTATCTGTCTCTGTTTGTCTTTCTTTGTCTGTCTCTTTTCTCTGTCTCTCTTCGTCTTTATTTATTTATTTATTTATTTATATATTTAATTTATTTAATTAATTAATTTATTTATTTGTGTTTATTTAATTGTTGCTGTCTCGTTCTGTTTGTTTAAATTTATTTTTGTTTATTTGTTTTTGTCCCTAACAAAAAAATAAAACAAACAAAGACAAAAGGAGACAGAAAAAAAACAAGAGACAGACAGAGATAGACAAAGAAAGACAAAAAAATTTAGATATATAAACTTAAAGAAAGAAAGTCTATGAAAGATAAACATAAAAAAAGGGATAAAGAAAGAGATAAAGAATATAATAAAAGACAAAGACAGAGACAGAGACAGAGACAGGTAGAAACAAAGACAGATAAAGAGACAGAAACAAAGAGATAGAGAGAGAGAGAGACAATAAATGTAGAGAGAGAGAGAGAGAGAGAGAGAGAGAGAGAGAGAGAGAGAGAGAGAGAGAGAGAGAGAGAGAAAGAAAGAAAGAAGCAGAGACAGCAAAGACAGACAAAGAGAGACATCAAATAATAATTATAAAGACAACACAAAGATAAGAAGCGCCTCCAAATAAACAGAAAGAAATTAAAAAGAAATAAAGAAGGATAAAAGAAATTAAAAAGAAATAAATAAAGAAAAGTTAAAAAGAGACAGACAAAGAAGCAGAGAGAGAGAGAGAGACAGAGACAGCTGTCTCCTTAGGCGTATATATATATATATATATATATATATACTCTCTCTCTGTCTGTCTCTGTCTGTCTGTATGATTTGTTTGTTTGTTTGTTTGTTTATTTATTTGTTTTAATTATTTATTTACTGCAATTCGTCAGAAAGAAAGACAAGCGGAGACAGCTGTCTCCTTAGGCCTACACACCTCTTTCTCTTTCTTTCTGTCTCTGTCTCTTACTTTCATCTATTTATAATTAATTAATTAATTAATAATAATTTGTTTACTGCATTTCTTCTCTAAGACGCAGCACTTTATTACTGTTAGCTTCGCATTGACAGCAGCGTAGGCCGCAGCGCGAGCATCTTTTGCTGCTGCTTAATATTTTATCCGTTTTAGTTTCTTCAGCGTCAGAAGTAATTATCGGCTTAGGTGCTGTCTTCGCATATGCTCTAGAGATAAATGTAGACGCCCAAGTGTCTCTGCTGCTGCTGTTGATTCCAGTTAAGAATGTATCCGAATCTGTAGCACCCGGTATCTGCTGCTGCTGCTGCTGCTGCTGCTGCTGCTGCTGCTGCTGTGACGGAACTAGGTTTAGCTGCTGCAGTATATGAAGACTACGATTTCCTGTTGCACCTGGATAACCGTTCATGCCTCTCTTAGAAGGGATTGGAGGCAGCTTAGTCTTTTGTGTCACTTCAAATTGCTGCTGCTGCTGCTGCGGCCGCAACCTCTTCTTAATTAGGCGTCCGTCTGCTGTTTGTGTATATCCTTCAGGTAAAGCATCTCCAGCAAATATATTTTCTTGCTGCTGCTGATGCAGCTGCTGCTGCAGCTCGAACTCTAGCCTGTCTTTCTCTCGGCGAGATAACGAACTCCAGTCCCCTGTTGCTGCTGCAGCAGCAGCAGCTGCAGCAGCAGTAGCAGCAGCAGAGGTGCATAGACGCGCTGCTCCCTTCTCTGCTGCTGCACCTTTACCGGAGAAACATACGTGAAGCTCTTTGTTCATGCAGCAGCAAAACAGCTCATTTGCTCCTTGCTCCCAATGCAGCAGAGTCGGAGCGTCTTTAAAAGGCAGAGAGAAACAATGTTCTCCTGTCTTGCTGCAGTATCCTCGTACTTCACCTCTAAAAGATCTACGAGGCCTACGCTCCTGCTGCTGCTGCTGCTCCTGCTGCTGCTGCTGCTGCTGCTGCTGCTGCTGCTGCTGAGTAGAGATGCAAAAGAAACGAGAGCAGGGCGAGAGACAGATGCCTTGCTCAGTTGCATCAGTAGGTAAAGAAGATATACGAAAGACAGGAGATGTAAACTTTCTTAAATCAAACAAACAAGCAGAACCATCTAACCCTCGGGTGTATAGGGACCTATCATCAGCAGCAAACACCATTGCTGCAACCCCACACGATCCTTCTTGCTGCAGCACCTCAGCCATCCCCATAAACCTCTTCCTCCCCTGCTGCTGCTGCTGCTGCTGCTGCTGCTGCTGGGATCTGGAAGCAGCAGCAGAATGCGCATCTCTAATAATAGCATCGGGTCTAGAGATATGCCTCTGTTTATTTACACCACCCCACATCTGAAGAGAGCCGTCTGAGCAGCCAGCGACAACAGCATCTGCTGCAGTTGGGGTGTATAGGCAGCAGCAGCAAGTGCATGCATTGCTGTTAAGACCCCGTTTATCAATTGCTTTTAAACAAGATATATTAACAAGAGATAAATCTAAACCTGTTGTCTTACCGTTAACATCCCACAGCCTACATGTTGCATCTAAAGAAGATGTTAAGAATAGATTCTTTTCAATAGGATTAAACTGTAGATCTGTAATAGAATGTGTATGACCTTTAGTATTAATCATATCTCTTATATATGCATCTCCTTTTGTTGTTTGTTTTATTAAGTCGCCCTCTGCTGCTGATATTAAATAACATGTGCTCTCGCCTGTACATACACCTATAACACCTTTTAAACCTACTCCTATACCGAATCTTATTCTTTTTATCTTTTGTCTTTCTGAAATATTTATTACTCTATATGCATGCATGTTCTTCAGAGAAGAAACAGCCCCGTAATCATATAAACGTACAACACCGTCTTCAGAGCCTACAGCCTGCATGCAAACAAACACTAAACAAATATATATCTTATTATTATATTCTAATATATTATTTTCTCTTCTATATATCATCCAGCCTATCTGTTTATTTCTATAATAAAAATAAATATATTATAATAAATTAATATTAATATAAATAAATATATTATAATTAATATAATACAATAAAATAAATTAAATAAATTAAATAGATAAAGCAAATGACGATGATGAATGAGCAAACAAAGTAAATAAAATAAAAAACAAATAAACAAATAAAATATTATTTATTGTTATTTATTATATATTATATATTATTATTATTTAATAAACAAAAATAAATAAACAGATAAATAAACAAATAAATAAAACAAATAAAACAGAGCTGCAGCAACAACAAAAGAAAAATAAAAAGAAGAGCAGCGACAAAACAAATAAAACAAACAATAATAAATAAATAAATAAATAAATAATAAACAATAATAAATAATAAATAATAATAATTAAAGAAGGAGAAGAATATAAACAAACTAAACAAAAGAATAACAGCAAAACCAGCAAAAGTATATAAAAAATATTAAAATAAATACGCCGAACAACAGAATAATATAAATAAAATATATAAATAAATAAAATAAATAAATAAAATAAATAAATAAAATAATTAATTGCTTACTATTCGGTTGCCCCTCTGAGACAGTGCAAATGAAGAGACAGCTTCGGCTGTATCCTCTATAAAAGAGAAACGCCCAAGCAGCGGCAATTCATCTTTTGCTGCTGCTGCTGCTGCTGCATCTGCTGCTGCTGCTGCTGCTGCTGCATCGGCTGCTGCTGCTGCTGCTGCTGCACCAGATGCCTCTCGGAAGCCAGAAAGAAGAGAAGGAGACAGCCATGGGTCTATCTCTCTCCAGAGACCGTTGTTGCGCAGCTGCCTGCTGCTGCTGCTGCTGCTGCTTCTATTGCTGCTGCTGCTGCTGCTGCTGCTGCTGCCGGCGTCGGAAGCAGCAGCAGCAGCAGGAGACTCTTTCTTTACAGCTGCCTCAGCAGCAACAGCAGCCTTGGCATTGAGGCGGCCCTTCCCGTTGCTGCTGCTTCGCGTGCTGCTGCTGCTGCTGCGGGCTTTGCTGCTGCTCTTCTGCTGATGCTGCAGCACGGGGCCGCCGAAGCTGGAGGGCAGACCCATTGCAGCAAGAGCAGCAGCAGCTTCCTCATCAACAGCAGCACCATCCTCGCCATCGCTGTCTTCTGAGTCGGATCTTGCTGCTGCTTCCTGCTGCTGCTGCTGCTGCTGCTGTTGCGGGCGGGGCCCCCAGCTATCATCCTCGCTGCTGCTGCGCCTGCTGCGCGCTGATTTGCTTAAAGGCCTGGGGCCGAAGCTGTCGTCATCGCTGCTGCTGTTACTTTCTGCTGCTGCTGCTGCTGCTGCTGCTTTAGCTGCTGCTGCTGTAGCGGCGGCTTCGCGGCGCTGCTGCTGCTGCTGCTGCTGCTGCCGGTCCCTTGCAGCAGCAGCGTAGCTGCTCGTGGCACGCAGCTGCCGCATTTCATCCTCGTCGCTGGACATCTTCCTGTGGGGAGAGCTGCTGCTGCTGCTGCAGTAGCTGCAGCAGCTATGAAGCGCCGTGAAGGTGTTGCTGCTCCTGCTGCTCCTGCTGCTGCTGCTTCTGCTGCTGCTGGGAGTGTTACAGCTGTTACTGGCCGACCAAGGCTGCCGTTCGCGTGTAAATTTCTGCTGCTGCTGTTGTTGCTGTTGCTGCTGTTGCTGCTGCGGTTGCCGCTGCTGTTGCAGCTGTTGTTGCTGCTGGTGCTGGGCTACGGCTGACTGCAGCAGCGATACTTCAGGAAGAGAAAGAAAAAGACAAAGGAAAAGTAAACAATGAAAAATGAGAAGGAAAGGCAGCAGCAGCGCCTACTGCAGCAGCTACTGCATGCAGCAGCAGCAACAGCAGCAGCAGCAGCAGCTGCTGCTGCTGCTGCAGCGAGCAGCAGCAGCAAATGCCTCAGTGGCGGCGCAGTCTTAGACGCTTTTAATTTAATTGACAGCAGAAAAGTTTGTAGCAGGTGTATGTACACCTGGATTTCAGCTGCAGTAGCAGCAGCAGCAGTAGCAGCAACAGCAGCAGCAGCAGCAGCAGTAGTCGTACGAAACCAGACACAGGCGAGATGAAACTGCTGCTGCTGCTGCTGCTGCCACTCCGATGAGGGAAGACAGGCTCAATTCTGCTTCAGCTGCTCTCATATGCGGCGTTGCTGCTGCTTTTCTTGCAGTGCAGCGGCAACAGCCACTGCAGCAAGAGCAACAGCAGCAACAGCAGCAACAGCAGCAGCAGCAGCAGCATCCCGCGGCCGCTGCAGCAGCACAGCTTCTAAAAGAAGGCTCACGTTGCTGCAGCAGCTCTTTTTCTATGATGTCACATTGAATAGCAGCAGCAGCAGCGACGATAGGAGTGACAGCAGTAGCAGCAGCAGCAGCAGCAACAGCAGCTGCTGCAGTAGCAGCAGCAGGTACTTGGATTGCTGCTGCTGCAGTAGCAGCTGCAGCAGCAACTGCCGCTGCGGTAGGTTGAACACTGTGGAGGGACACTGCACTGGCATAGCCAGCAGCAGCAGCAACAGCAGCAGCAGCAGCAGCACCAGAAGCAGCAGCAAGAGTAGCCCAATCAGTAGCATTAGCCGCAGCAGCAGGAACACAAGCAGCAGCAGCAGCAGCAGCAGCAGCAGCGGCAGCGGCGACCGCACGTGTGCAAAGCCTGGCCTGCGATACCAGCAGCAGCAGCTGCTGCAGCTGCTGCTGCTGCTGCTGCAGCACTTAAGGCCAACAGCAACAGCTGCTGCTACGTGTGTCAATGAAGCCTGGCGTCCCCCAACATGCTGTTGCTTCCAGCAGCAACCACAACAACAGAAGCAGCAGCAACAGCAGCAGCAACAGCAACAGCAACAGCAACAGCAACAGCAACAGCAACACCAGCAGCTGCATATGTGTTTCATCGGATGCTCCTCTGGCAGCCCATCTGCTGCTGCTGCATACAGAGCAGCAGCAGCAACAGCAGATAGCTGTCTTAGTTTCGTCTTGTGCTGCTGCTGAGGGACGCCTTGCTGCTGCGCTTGCCGCAGCAGCAGCAGAACTGAGGAGCGCATGCGGCAGCACAGCAGCAGACGTCAGCTGCTGCTGCTCCTGCTGCAGCAGCAGCTGCCGCGCACTCGAGGAGGCCGCAGCAGAGTATGACAGCAGCAGCAGCAGCAGCAGCAGGAGGTCGCCATCTGAGGGTGAACCGGCAACAACGGAGGCAGCAGCAGAAACAGAAGATGCTGCTGCTGCTGCTGCTGCTGCTGCTGCTTACCAGTGTGGGGCGATGACGGACGGCTGGGTTTCATCAGCAGCAGAAGCAGCAGCAGCAGCAGTAACAACAGCAACTGCTGCTGCTGCTACTCCAGCAGCAGAGCAGCAGGCGCATTTGAGGTGTCTCAGCTGCAGCAGCAAACGGCACATGTGGGCGCTGCTGCTGCTGCTGCTGCATCGGCAGCAGCAGCAGCACAGCTGCGCCGCTGCGCAGCTGCAGCAACAAGCCGCAGCAGCAGCAGCACAACAACAACAGCTTCAGCAGCAAATGCAGCGGCAGCAGCAGCAGCAGCAGCAGTTAGCAACAGGCTGGCGGAATGCGCAGCAAAGCCATGCAGCAGCAGCAGCTCGCTTTGCTGCAGCAGCAGCAGCAGCAGAGGAATCCTTAGAGGCTGTACAGGCAGCTGCTACTGCTGCAGCAAACCAGAGGCAGCAACTGCAGCACCAGCAGGAGCAGCAGGAGCAGCTGAATGGCACAGCAGCAGCTGCAGCAGCAGCAGCAGCAGGGAGACAACTAAATTCTGCTGCATATGCTGCTCGAACTCGAAGTAGAATCCAGGTGTCTGTGGCGATGCATTTGCTGCAGCAGCTTTCTGGTGTATGTGCAGCTTATGATGCAGCAGCAGCAAACACGCAGCAGCAAGTCTGCTACGAGTTTGCCGAGCAGCAGCAGCAGATGGAGCAGCGGCGGCGGCAGCAGCAGCAGCAGCAGCAACTCATTCTCAGGCTCTTCAGGATGCTGCTGCAGCAGGAGTCTCTCATGCTGCAGCAAACTGCACAAGCTGCGGCAGCGCAGCAGCAGCAGCTGCAGGCAGCTCTGGCCGCTGCTGTGCCTCAGCGAGAGGGAAGATGTGCTGCAGTTGCTGCTGTCCCTGCTGCTGCAGCACCAGCATCAGCGACCCCCTGCAGCAGCAGCAGCAGCAGCAGCAGCACCTTGGCTACTGCATTTGCTGCTGCAGACGCCACAGGGAAGCAGCAGGAGAAGAGGATGCGAAGCAGCAGCAGAATGCTGAGGTGTATGCTCACCTTAGCTTGCTCCCTCGTAGAGGCTTTTGAAGAGTACATAAAGCTGCTACGAGCTGCTGCTGCTGCTGCAGCTGTTGCTCTACAGCAGCAGCAGCAGCAGCAGCTCCAGATGCAGGGGCCACAGCAGCAGCAGCGACAGGCAACAGCAGCTCTTCTCGTGAGCGTTAATTGGGAAGCCTATGAAGCAGCAGCAACAGCAGCAGCAGCAGCAGCAGAGCAGCAGCAGAAGCTGTGGGTAGAAACTGCAGCGACGCTGCAGCTGAGGGCCTTGCCGCAGCTAAATGTAGCAACGAGGAAGCTCAAGGCAGCAGCAGCGTTGCTGCAGCAGCTGCAGCAAGAACCCCTGCAGCAGGAACCTTCAGCAGCAGCAGAGGCACCGACATGCCCTGCTGCTGCTGCTGCTCCACGCAGCAGCAGCAGCAGCAGGAGCAGCAGCAAACGAGGCGCGGCATCTGCGGAGACAGCTGGTACAAATGTCGAGCAGCAGCAGCAGCAGCAACAGCAGCAGCAGCAGCAGCAACAGCAGCAGCAGCAGGTGCCGCCTCAGGAAGAGGTACTGCTGCTGCAGCGTCTTCACCAAAACGGAAGCCAGCAGCAGACAGCAGCGGAGGAGTTGCTGCATGCAGCAGCAGCAGCAGCAGAAGCAGCAGCAGCAGCAGAAGAGGAAGAGGTGCAGCAGCTGCTGCAGTGCCTGGCGGAGCTGCGCAGCACGTCGAGCGCCACAAGTGAAGCTGCTGCTGCCGCTGCTGCTGATTTGCATGTTGCTGCTGCAGCAGCAGCAGAACAAGAACAGCAGCAGCACCAGCATCTAATAAACTCGTTTGCTGCTGCACTTGGGGTTCCCGCGCTGCAGCTCGCGAGCCTCCCTCCCTCCTCAGCAGCAGCAGCAGCAGCAGCAGCGACAACAGCAGGAACGGCGACAACAGGAACAGGAGAAGCCTCAGGCGAATGCAGCAGCAGCAGCAGTAGCAGCAGCAGAGGTAAGGCCCACCAAGGTTCAGTGCAGGTGTATCTCCTGCCAGTGCTGCTGCTGCCGCTGCTGCTGCTGCTGCTGCTTCACGTACTACTGCTGCTGCTGCTTCACGTACTACTGCTGCTGCTGCTTCACGTACTACTGCTGCCGCTTCTTCACGTTCTGCTGCTGCTGTTGCTGCATATGAATCGGTGCCCTGTGCTGTATGAGTGCTTGTGTGCTGTTGCTGCTGTTGCAGATGCTGCTGCTGCTGCTGCTGCAGAGCCGGCAGCAGATCCGCCAGCAGCAAATTGGTGGCTTGAAAACATTTGTGTCGTGCCCGCCAGCAGCAGCAGCAGCAGCAGCAGCAGCAGCAGCGCGGATGTTTTGTTTACTGGCTTCCCCCTTCTACAGAGAGAAGCAACGCGATTGGCTCGCAAGGTCAGTCTGCTGTTGCTGCTGCTGCTACCTCTCCTGCTGTTGCTGCTGCTGCCTTTTCTGCTGCTGCTGCTGCTGGAGACGGACGCGCTTGAGCTGTACCTGCGCTTTGCCTTTTCTGCTGCTGCTGCTGCTGCTGGAGACGGACGCGCTTGAGCTGTACCTGCGCTTCCTCGTTATCTTTGCTGCTGCTGCTGCTGCTGTTGCTGCTGCTTTTGCTGCTGCTGCTGAAGGGGATCCTCCTGCTGCAACTCTCTTTGCATTCTTCTCAGGCCCAGCTGCGCGCCCAGCAGCAGCAGCAGCTGCAGCAGCAGCAGCAGAACGAATGCAGAAGCGACAGCGACTCTGATGTCGCGTTACTGGATGGCCGTCTTAGCAGCAGGAGCAGCAGCTTCGACAGCTACAGCTTCCCCAACAGCAGCAGCAGCAGCAGCAGCAGCCACAGCAGCAGCAGCAACAGCCGCAGGGGATCTGTCGCGCTGGACTGCAGCAGCAGCAGCAGCAGCAGCAGCAGTCCGTACGCCTTTCGATTTTCTTCTGCTCCTACTATTGCTGCAGACAACCGGGAAAACGGCAACACAGCAGCAGCAGCAGCAGCAGCAGCGGCAGCAGCAGCAGCAGCTGCTGCTGCTGTGAGTGACTACTTTCTGGTTATGCCTCTAGAGCAGCAGCAGCAGCAGCAGAAGACAAAACACGGGAGAGACCAAAACAGAGGGATGGCGGCTGCAACTAGTCAAAGCGGCAGCACTGAAATAGCAGCAGCAGCAGCAACAGCAGCAGTGCCAGCAGCAGCAGCAGCAGCAGCAACAGCAACAGCAGACGCAGAAACAGCAGCGTCCAGGGGGTCCTCTGGAATTTTGGCTTCATTTCTAGACGGTAGCAAAAGGAGCAGCAGCAGGTGGAAGCTAGGCAGCAG